AGATTTTTAAAAAGTTCAAACAATATATAATTTAAAAAGAATATATTTACATGTATAAAAGGTATGTCTTAGCTCTGGGTATATATATGAGTATGCTTTAATTTTTTTTTCTATCTTAATTTTACTAATTACCGTTTTTATATTCATAATTGTTTATTATTATAAAAGTATAGAAGGGCATGCCCTAAGGGCATGCCTAATTTTTAAAGCGTGCCCCAAACCCTATTGATGAGGTTTGTCGATCAACAAACGCGAAATTCAAATATCCGAAAAACAAGTACGCGTAGAAGAAAAAGAGAAAAGATAGAAAAATCAAGATATAGTTATAAGTGGCTGCAATATGAGATATTGCAATAAGCGAAGCAAAGCCTTCTCTTATGTTGTAATTATTATTGTAAGCCCCTACCTTAGTATTAGGTTTCTTTAATTTTTTAAGAGATGCAATATGTCAATTATCCCTAAGCACCGTGAATTCTTTAAGAGAGTAGAAGCTATAAAAGCACTGAGATTTCACTGTTATTAAAGGACTTCCCTACGAGATTCAAATATTTAGTTCACAATACATTTAATAAATTACCTCGATAATTTCCTTTATTAATATTACTTAAATATTACCAAATCTCCAAAGTCACGTCTCTGGCGAGTTACCTTATATCATAAAGGCTATATTTTCGTGTATAAAATTATTAAATACACAAATCACCCGTAACATGATTGATCGGAACACTTTGACTTTTATTGTAAATATAATGTTTGCAGTTATATTGGTACCATTTCAAGGCTTTGTGAATGGCATTATACCTAGAACCATGATTAAATTATAATTAACGTAAAAAGGTTACTGTCAATTTCAGACGCAGAATAAAGTTCGAGTAATTTTTAAAATACTGTATTGGTCTAACAGGAATTTTATTATACATGTTTACACTTTGCTAAAAGTAAATTATTTATATACAATATTTTTATTAATAATTTGCCACAATATTACCCAAACCCATTTACTTTTTAAATAAAGCCCGGGTGGTTTCATTTTGAGTAATAAGTTTAATTTCGATTGCAAGAACCTGCATTACAATCTCTTGATACTACAATTTTGATCAAGTATTTTAACTTTTTTGCGGAAATAATGAAGCGGAAAGTTTTTTTTCAGAATTGGATATAGCTGTTGTTCACAGCATTTATATGTACCGAATTAATTTCCATAAAGAAAACAAATGAACATGATTATGCTTGCAAAATGGTTTATTCTGTAAATATACTTAAAATGGTTTATTCTGTAAAATAGTTGTAAATTTCACCAAAGCCGGACAAGAGAAATTTACAGAATATATCAACCTACAAAGTAGATATTTATAATTTAATGACAAAATAACCACAATTAAAATACCTTTTATATGCATTGATTTCTTCACCTTCTTTCCTTAAAGTCCATTTCTAAATATTCCTTCCAATCAATCTGCAGCAAGTCATCAAAAATTTTTGGTTCACGTACAAATATAAATGGATTTTGTGGCGGGTCCTCTTTATTTAGATTGATAAGCATTTGATCAGATGCAGTAAATCTGTGTTTTAAGAAAACAAAAAACTTGACTTAATATAGGATTATATATGCGATCGAACCTCTAAATGACGAAATATTAATATAACGAAGCATTAATTAGATCCTGATAAACCAAACTAGTTATAGAAAATCCAACTTGATAAGCTGTATCAAAGTTAATTTTTTTTGTGCAATATAAATCAAATAGATTAATTTCGTTATAATGAGGTTCGACCGTGTATATATATTTTTGGTAAAAACTCTCGTCATGAACCTTGTTTGGCTGGTCTGTAACTGCATGAACTCTGCTTCTTTCAATCTATTAGATTGTATTGGCTATTAAACCAACGGATCGCAAATATTGATATTAGTGACGACGCGTTTTTGTATGGATAAATCGCGATTAACCTTAATAAGAAAATCAAAGAATTTAATGATATGAGTTCATAATTACCTGTTTATCTTCGTTCGTGGGAGCAACGTAAGAAGGACTACGTTCAACCGCATCAATATTCATAAAAGAGGTATCGTTGATATCAGAACTAGTGTCCGAAGCCGATGTGTCAGCATCGATCCCAAGACCAACGACGTTAAAATAACGCCATGTTGCATATGGATTGTCTACACTAATACCGAATACTTCGCGAGCTGTTAATTTCTCAGATTCCTTTTTAAATGCTAAAGTATCTCTATATTTTCCTCGTCCTCTAGTAGCCATTGTGTAAAAAAAAAATAACAAATGACAAATGTTAAAGTTTGTACTGAAGTGTAATATATGACAGTATTTAGAGCTATGATGTAATTAAATAAACAAATAATATTTTTATGCATGACAATTTCAATCTCCGAAAATATCTGATTATTTTTCTTTAATTATGATTTAGTTACAGTACAATCTTTAGAGTAGTAGTTGTAACTTTATTAGTGAGTCTGATAATGGGTATTCGGAATTAATCCAAATTATCCAAACGAACCCAACACAAAAGGAAAATTAACCTATCTTGGCGAATGGATTTATTCAAGACTCCGTCTCTTCTTCCCGTCAAATGAGTCACGTGTTTATACTCGACCAATTGAATTAGTGACCGGCTCGTGATTCGAATAATTTAGGTTTATCACGATTCGAATCATGATTTGCGAGTTTGGTACCCAAATCTTCTTTTATAAGGTTGTAAGTTAAATTTTCGTGATTCGAACAATTCGAATAAATTGATATCAATCACATGATTCGAATACTTATTTCGTGAGTCACGAGTTGAGACGAGCCAGTCTCTAAACTGAATTCTATCTGACCGGTATCCGTCAACCAAGCTCAGGGAGGATACTGCATCTGTTATTCGTTCAATGGATATCTATTTTATCTGGCAAATAATGTAGTTATTTTTGCGAGACAAAATTCGTAATATATATTTTTGCGTTTATCTGACGCAATGTAGTTTATATGCACCAAACCTAGTTCCGGTGCACTTTTTACTTATTTATCTTAATTTTTTTAAATATTTATTTACGGGGATGCGTGTTAATTCGGCGTTAAACCACATATGCTATTTTGGAAGTATCCGATTTCAAAATAATGTCAACCATCCTAGTATCGCCCAAAAAATCAGTTACGTACGTACGTACGTACTGTACGTACTGGAATTTAATATAAACATCGCATCGGTACTTAATAACTCAAATACAGAAATAGCGGTACTGATGACTTATTGATAAATATATATATATATATTGCAATAAAGCAATATACAAATTGCATTTTTATTTATTTTCGCTATACATATATATTGTATATATGTATATTCATTTTTTTATTAAACGCTACATTCATTAATTCATGATATAATAAAAATAAAAATTTCCGAACAAAGCGTTAAAACTATCATCAAAAAAAAAAATTCGAATTATCATTTCTTCTTGTATATAAGTATCTAAGTTAATTTTCTTAATAAATAATTATTTCGACAATTAGTCTACCGAAATCAGTTTTCTGTAGTTAGTGAAATTATTGTCGAGACTATTTGAATTTTTAAATAAATATATTAATGTAATTAATTGTTTGTGAAAGTTCATGTAAAAAATATGCCAGCAGCGAAATTTTTTGCAAAATTACTTTTTTTCAAAAATAATTTAGACACCATGTACAGTATTATCATTGTATATCATTGTACTGTCCTTCTTAAAGTTTTTTTCACTTTAAACCTCTCTAAGTCATTTATTATTCTTTACTGGGACAATCGCACTCAACCATTTTCTTCATTGAGAAAAATTCCAAATTTTCAATAAACTTTAACGTTTATAAATTAATTTTATTATTTGTAAAAAATACAATCAACTCTTTCTATGACGAACTGACATCTCTAGAAGAAAAAAAATGTTCGTTATAGAAAATTACTATGTTTTCTTAAGAACTTATGGGACTTCCATATCAAACCATATATTATGAAATTTTAAAATTCTGAGTTAGTTATATCCAGAGTTCGTACATAGACAGAGTTTGTACATAGAGATTCATTATATCCAAGTCGACTGTATAAATAACTTGTATAATGATAAAGTAAATAAATAGTACCTTTACTGATATTTCTTTTAATTCAATAGCTTTATCATTTGTAACTTCAACATCACTAGCACTTGAATCACATTCGTCTATACTTAAATCTATCTCGACTTCCTTATAATTGTTGTGCCTCAGACTAACGCTTGCCTCGGATCACAGCTGACGCGCGATCATCAGGTGAGGTGCGTAACCTATCGATCGGTCATTACACACAGTAAAAAATATATGTATAGAATAAAAAGTATTATTGAGAAGACTTAAACAAGAAGAGTATGCAGTGAAAATTTGGGCAAAAAAAAAAACTGCACGTATAGAAAAAAAAGTACAGTACATATTAATTGGAAATAGAATGTGTCACGAAAATTTGGGCAAAGAAATTTAAAGAAAAAAATGAGGTGCTGAAGAGACTTAATATAAAAAAATGCTACTGGAAGTAAGACGACGTCAAAATGATTCAAAGATATAGAATGCTACTGGAGTTAAAAAAAGACGCCAAAGTGATTTAAAGTAAAAAATGCTATCAGTGATAAAAAAAGTGCCCAAGGGTGTTCTCAAGTGCCTTAGTCAATCGATCGGAATAGGGTCGGAGGCAAATTTTAATTAATAAAAAATTGGGTTTCCGAATCAATTGTATTTATTATTCCAATGAATGATGCAAGGCTACG